TTATAGCACCCTAGAGGAGTATTAAAATAGAGTTAAGGGACAATTTGGTAATTACTCCTCCCGGTAAGCAAACTACAGCATACTATAGAATTTTTTTTCACTTAATAGAAGAGTWTRCCCCCGCGCTAATATCTAAAAGTCGGCGACTCTGCCTCTATTAGTACCTCTACCTATTTTTCTTTAAATTATCAATAAATAAAGATAAAAAATGCAAGCAATAGCAAATTAAACTTGACACCTCGTTAAAGTTTGAAGCTTAGATGCACCACTTTAAATACTTCGTAACAAATATTTAACTTTATGTTCGTAATTCGAATATTTATATATGCACCAAAATTCAAAGTAAAATATTCTAATTTGAAAACAATTAATAAAATACATATTTTATAATTTAAAAATTTCTATTAGTAAAGAATAAAAAATACTTGTCARATTATGAACCAGAAATAATATTATACTCTATGACATGTAACTGTATCGCTGTAGCGATAAATACATTACATTCGATATTATCCATTACTACTATTATTATAAATACCAACATAATAATTATAATTACCATGTTTTATATTATACAGTATACACGTATAAGCGTATAAACTGTATATTCGTTATTTCGTGTCCATAACATCAAATTAATTATTTGTATTTTAAAGTACCATAAATGTTATCAATATAAATATCAACATTAATAACTACTAATTATTATGAAAGATAATTTCTGTAAAGCTAATGACTAAGTCGACAAAACTAAATAAAGATCAATAAAAAAAACCCTGTACAATTACAGGGATAACTGTTTAAAATAGAATCAAATTCAATCCCACGATATTATTATGTAGTTTAATATTATTTTTTCCAATATTTAAATAGTGAGCAAAGCCAAGATTAAGTTTAGGAAGAGGTTTTTAATTTGAATTCTGTACTATATGATTTATTTAGATTCTTATTTCTTTCGAAGTTAAATGTTTTACCGTTTTTGATTCTATTCACAACCAACGTGATCGTTGATTCAGATTTCAGATACATTGCGCTAAAAACATGAATAGGAGAAAAAAATAAATGATCCCATAAATGAACTAACCTAACATAACAAAATCAAATATATAAGTAAATATTTATATTTTAAATTTTTATCGCAATTTGTTCTTTAACAACGATATTTAATAACGAATATTAATCAATATTGGGATGTTAAATTTTTAATAAAGTTAAAAATTAAATCACTGAAATAAAAAATAATAATATAACATTAGTTAATTTGAATTTGAAATATCTTCTATATACACCTACATATTCTACGCAATAATGTGGTAAGAAAATTATGAGTAGATATCAATTCATGCAAGATGATTATTGCWATGAAACTTTCAGTAATTGAAATTTAAGAACAGTCGAGTCAACTATCAATAACTAACAATTCAAGAAAAAGGAAAAAATTACTGAATATTTTACATTGACCAAAGTCAACAAAGTATGACTATGAGCTACGGCCTACAACAACTAAAGATAACTCAGCTATAATCAGTTTAAGGTTATTTAAATTTCAAGCTACCCATCAAATATAACAATTAATATGGTGAAGTTAACAAGGTGACGATTTAAGAACTAACAATTTACTATTACATAAAAATCGAGTTTTGGATACTTATTTTTTTATAATAAAATTTAGAAATAAACAGCTTAATAACACCAAGAAGCTTGAATATAATATTCTTTCCGAAAACTTTTTTGTTTTTATAAAAAAATGAATGTATTAATAAAAATAAAAATTCATCAATAATTTTAATAAATCATATGAAAAAAAAAATTAAATTAAATTAAAACCCAACTATTGTCAAGGATACTTATAATCAAGGATCTCATTTTACATAGTAATTTTAGCAAGGTTTGCACATTACATAATACACGTTGAAAATTGGTGGGGAGCGATTTAATCGAGGGTAGTTTCATTCACCTTGAGTTCACTGGCATGCACGATACGGCAGACAGCAGACTGGCGCCAACAACCAACCCCTTTTACCCTGCAAGGGGACACTTCCTCTATTCCTATTGATCCAGTAAAAACCAATGTCATGCTATAGCCCCCAAGTGTATACACTATAATAGACAATATATTGATTTAAAAATGACGGAAGTCCATCAACGTAATTAGATTTACTACATATTATGTTAAACAACAAAAGTTAAAAAATATTTTTATTCATAAAAATTACTATAACGATTATAAGATTTGTGTTTATAGAAAAATATTTTTACATATTTTCATTGCAATAAAATATATGGATAAATTAAATCGAAGAATAATCACTTCATTAAGTAAAAATATAATTCTGAGCTTTAGGTATTATAAATCGATTTTGTTTCAATACTAACGAATTTTAAATTAAATCAAATCAATAAACGTAAAAAAATTGAAAAATTGAAAAGCAAATACTATTTTGTGATAAACTATAAATATATTAATTTAGTAATGAAATTAACATTTTAGATAAATTATTGCAAACATAAAAAATTATAAAAATAAATTAGTATTAGATGAAATATAATATCAAAAAGACGTTAATATAATAAATAAACTATTTATTCAAATATTATTACCAACGTGCCTACTTATACTTTTTTTAAATTTTTAAATTGTTTTCATATTCTAACCATCATAATAACTTATAGATACACTTTTTAATTATATAAATCTKCTTTTGTATTTGCCGTACGTAAAATTGAATTATTATCTTATAAAATAATTACTAATTACATTATTTTAATGATCGAAGTATTTATATTTGGTTAACAAAAATAAATACATAAAAAATGCTCATAGAAATATTTTTAAAAGATACGAATAAAAAGTATAGGATATAAAATTAATAATATTAGGTTTTCAAAGACTTACCCATATTATATTTGAACTTAAAATATATTCATAAGGGGAGAAGTAGACTGTTTGACTGCTTCACTCAGACTGATATAAAAGGAAAACTAAGGGCACCTGGTAGACACTAGCCAATGATGTTTACAAAACAGTAACCATGGAAACTATAAGTTCAGAAATTGACCACTAACGGTCAATTTTAAGCTGACTAATTTATTGAAAAGTAAAAAAAATAGAATGTTAGGGTTTATTATTATTTTTTAATACTTTTCATACAAATGTATTAGACGAACCCACATAATAATAGTCTAAACATTTAATAAACATGCATGCAAAACAAAGGTTATTTTAATAATATTATATTAAATTATAAATATATATATATACGTATTATATTTATTTATTATTAGATTACAATAAATTGAAGCATGTATACATACCGCATAGTAATATTGTTACTAGTAATTGATATGAAGTTTTATAGACTACCATGGCGTGTGTTATAAATTATTTTAGTATAATATCTTCACAAATCAAGTGCATTTTTTTTTCATTGCCCATTATAATTATTGATAACACATTCTATTAYTTGACAATTTTCGAAAATTTAATAGTTACACGCCTATTAATTACACCTAAATCAGGATAATGTATTATTTCTACATTATAGTATTCTACTAAATATTTTGATGAATAGTAAAGACCAGTTAATTTCACAAGTATCATTATCATTATGTTTATACACAGATATTTGAATTTTGGTACACTAAAGGCTCTGTTAAACAGAACGCGTTATAACGCGCGTTAAAGCGGTAAATGGCTCGTCGGCGTGGTGCTTTTACGCGCGTGAGTAACGCCGCGTTGTAACAAATTAAAAAATCACACGACGTGAAGATAACGCTTTCTGTTTGACAGAGCCTTAAAAATAGTGGGCACTGCTGCATAAGACTATAATATATTATATAGTTACAAGGTAATAATTTTAAATGGTTAACTTTAATGTTATCATATAGTTTTAACGTTTTATAAAATTATATTTTTTTTTACATAATTTTGTAAACAATATAAAAAACATATTATACAATTTATTTTTACTTTCTTCAATGATAGCACTTTCATATTCCAAAGTAAATTAAAAATT